GGAGGGCGGTTTCGCGGGCCCCCCTTGTGTCCAATCCGCGGGGACTCACTCTTTCATGGAGATTGTGGCGTCTCTGTCCTTGTGGGCGGCGTTGATGAGGAGGTAGATCTCTGCGTCGGTCAGCGAGTCCCCGAGCGCGCGCGCGATCTCCGCCAGTTCTTGTCGATCTACCTGGAGAAAAAAAAAAAAGGCGGGCAAACAGACAAGAGATAGAGAGAACAAGAGGAAGAGAGGAAGAGAGGGAGGGAGGGAGAACGGGAGAAGAGAGAGAGAGAGAGAGAGAGAGAGAGAGAGAGAGAGAGAGAGAGAGAGAGAGAGAGAGGAAGAGAGAGAAGGAGAGAGGGGGATAATTCGAGAGAGGCCGAAAGACAGAAAAGCAGAGGAGAGACAGAGACAGAGATAGAGACAAGAGAGACAGAAACAAAGGTCTCGTTGCCTTAAAAAGCGTAGGAAAGAACCAAGAGGTACAGTACCAGGTCGAGTTCGAGAATGTATTTTCACGGACAACGCCGACTAATGGCCCAAACCTTCATGGGCACGATCGAGAATCTTGCTGTTGCTGCTACGCATATGCGCGCACCGAACTTATCCCCCAACTGTGGGTTCTCAAAGCGCGTTCTGGATGAAGTCTTCAGCGAATGCATCGCCCCATGTGACCATGGTCGGTGAGGAATGGTCGGCGTAGGAAACTCGGTGGCGGGCGTCAAAACACGGAGGAGAGAACGAACAGCCTGGCAGGAAAACCGTGTTGAACTTGCACTATCGCGTCCCAAAAACAGGAACTAAAAACTAGCCAAAACAGAAAACAACACACACATTGCAGTCGTACTGTGTTGTACCGCAATCGCCACCTGGCGGTCGCGAACCGGATTCGAATCTACCTTGCGCTTGCGTTGTGTTGGTACGCGCAAACCGCGGTAAACCCTCTCCCTGCATACGTTGTAACCAATACCTGCCCGTCGCCGTTCTTGTCGAAGAAGGAGAAAGCTCCGTTGATCTCCTTCTCGTAGTCCGTCTCCATGCCCCCCACTCTCATCAGCACCACGAACTCCTCGAATGAAATGTCTCCAGTGCCGTCCAGATCCACCTTTTGGAACACAACAAACAAATCTGGAAGCGGTCGGTGCATATTATTTACGCCCTGCACGCACGAAAACTAAAAAACTAAAAATTGAACGAACAATTTGTACCGTCCAAATCCACCTCGAACCAAACAAACAAATCCGGAAGCGGTTGGTGCATATTTACGCCCTGCATGCACGAAAAGCAAAAAGCTAAAAACTGAATGAACAATTTGTGCCGTCCAAATCTACCTTGAACGAAAAAAAAACAAATCCGGAAGCGGTTGGTACATATTTACGCCCTGCACGCACGAAAACGAAAAGGAAGAAAACTTGAATGAACAATTTGTGCTGCCCAAATCCACCTTCAGGACAAACAAACAAACCAGACCCGGGAGGGGCACGCGAACCCTAAAACTAGCCCCATCTTAGCCAATACCATACTGTATCCGGCATGTTTGCTTGTCTAGAAAAACCTGGGTGGACCGTTCTTAGCTCCGGAAAACATACCCTGTCGTGTGGAGCCTCGTCGAGTTGCCGTTCTCGTGTACGGGGGGAAGACTCCTGACAGGGGCATCCTTCCCAAAAAACAATTTCCACTCTCTTCATACGTACATGCAATACGAATCCGCAACACCATGCAAAAAAACTGCCGTGCTTATGGACATGGAATACCTTTCACCCTCCCTCACACTCTGGGACATATTTTCTGTCAAGCGCCACACGAAATTGGTACCTTGTCCATGAGCTTCTTCAGCTGATCCTTTGTCGGCGAGTAGCCTAGAGAACGTAGCACCGTCGCCAGCTCAACCGAGTCAATGGTTCCGTCCTGTCGAAAAACATTTTTCCAGGGGTCATTTTCCAATTCCACGGAAAAATTGCGGAAGGGGGGGGTGCAAGGGTTGTCAGCCATGCTCCTTCAGTTCCGTGGCCATGAGAGCACGCACGGCACGGCACGCTCCGCGATGGCCGTACTATCACAGGAAACAACAGCAGAGCCTGTATTTTGCAATTTGTACCGTCCGAGGAACGCTTGGCCCTGTCGTTATGTTGTTGTTGCTGCTGTCGTTGTTCTTGTTATCATTGTTGCTGTTGTTGCTGCTGCTGTCGTTGTTGTTGTTATCATTGTTGCTGTTGTTGCTGCTGCTGTCGTTGTTGTTGCGAGTCGTTGTTGTTGTTGTTGCTGTTGTTGTTGTTGATACTGCTGTTGTCGTTTACCGCTACCCCAACACAAGAAACAATCCAAACACATTTCCAAAGCATATCCCGTTCCGTCCAATCGTCCCGAATTTGACGGAAGCTGCGGGGGGTGTGGTGGTGTACTAATTAATGTAAATGCTAATGCTTGCCGTGGTCGTTGGACCATGGACCTCCTCTATACAATGCCGGGACGGAGCGGTGTGCCAGGTTTTCGCCTGCCAAGGCTACGTTTGTAAACGATGAACCAGAAGCTGACAGTGTCATCATCCTCGTGTTTGCTCTGCCAACCAGATATGCCATGGGTTAATCGTGCATCCCGGCTAACCAAACGTTTCACGGTGGGCAGGCACGACGATGGCTCAAGTGCTACAAGGAGAATTTGATCTTTGGGCGCTTGCACACAACAGGCTCGCCACGCATCGCTTCGTGGGTGATCACACTCGGAGCATAATCTGCTTTTCCACATCAGTTCGAACTGCGGGCGAGGGGGGGTTGTACTCATAGCCGTGCATGCCGTCGTCGTTAGACCATTGACCTCGCATCCCTACAAAGTCGGGACGGAGCACGCCGGGTTCTCACCGGACCAGGCTCTCACATCACCTGCGGGGGAGGGGGGGGGGGGGGGTCACAGCAGATTGCAACGAGAGGAAGAAGGACAGGCAGACGGACAGGTACCTACGCGCGTCCGCACGCACCCCATTCCGATCGAAGTTGTCGAAAGCTTCCTTAAGGTCGGCGACGTCTTCTTCTGACAGCCCTCTGATAGCCACGGAGTCCTCGTTGACGTGTTTCGCCATCGTCGCCTTCCTCTCCCCTCTCGCTTGGCGGTATCTGAGGAGTAAAAAAAATACCTGCGTCGCGTGATGCGAGCGGGGGACGCAAGCTCAGCGTCGTCGACAATTGAAAAAGGGCTCTCAGAGAAGAAAAAAAAAAAAACACACCCCGAGCGTCACAACATGGGTCTCGAACGAACCCGCGAACAAGCTTTATTACACGCCGATATCAAAACTTGACCAAATGGTTCGAAATCGGCTGCAATAGGTCGCACCGCGGCTGCGTGTGGGCGAGATCCGCAACAACATTCGCGCCGTGAAAAACATCGAGCAACCCCGTGGGCTTGGAAGCATTGCTCACTCGAAAACGTAAGCCCAACAGGTGGAAGCGTCTGGACTACAAAGGGTCAAGAAATGAGGGAAGGGAAGGGGGAGCTCACGCGTTTCAAGCTGGTGAGGGGTGCCGTGGAGCAAATTCATGGGGGCAGGGAGGGTATGGGATTGGCGATTTTATGCCGCCAAAGAACGCCAGAACGCCCCCCCCCGATGGTGCATTGAAATCAGTTATTGACTGGTCTGCTAGGGTTAGGCCCATCTATGGGCTTTTTACGCCCTCCGATTGGTCGAGCGTTGGTTCGGGCGGTTGATTCCTCTCCAGCGCCCTCTCCCCATTCCGCATACCGACAACGCGGCGCAGCCGCGTTTGAGCCCAGTTCTCGGTCGCTAGGCCGTGCGTTGGCCGTGGGTGAGGGTTGGGGTTGGGTTGGGTAGGGTTGGGTTGGATCGGCCACGGTGTGTGACACTCCCATGTGGGGAACCCATGTAGGTCAGACGTCCGGATCGACCAAAGAGTAACTAACAGACGGTAAATAGACCTCGTCGAGTGGACACAGCGCGCTCAGCATAGGCACGGCTTTCTCTCCAGCCTCGCGGTCGGCGTCAAAAAGAGCGGGGTAGCGCGAGCCAATCAGCGCTACAGCCTTGAACGAAGCGATTTGCGCGGAAAACCAGCACATCTCTGGCTTGCGACACCTGCTGCGCGCTGCTTTCGTTGGTGATGTCAACACGCCCCCCCCCCAAAAAAAAAAGTTGTTCGCACTCGCAGCCAACAGGCAAGGAGTCACCGACCACGCCATCGGTCCGTAAACTTCAATCTTGGTGTTTTAAGCAAATGTTTCGGGACTTGAGCGGCAGGGATCCGAACGGTAGTCGTACGTTGTGGAGGGAGCCCACAATTCCATGGGATATAACTTTTCCACTGGACGGTGGGTCTAAACGGACCCTCCCTGCAGGATGTGCCGCCCCGTTTGTCCAGCCCGCCGAAGAGATTGTAACACTCACCAAGCGAGTCTTGGTCGGGGTCTTGAGGCATTTTCTACATGGGTAAACCTCCCAAAGTCTTGCCACTTGTGCCCTAAAAAAATCACTGGTGGTATGCATATAGAGTCTTTCGTTTGACTTTTTGGACGTACGATAGAAAGATCGGAACGGTTTTCAATGTGAGGACAACAACGACAACAACAACGACAATAACAACAACAACATCAACGACAACATCCAGTGCGGGCCCGCAGGTCAAGAAAAAAACACGTTCAGAAAAAACGAGGCTCAAACGTTACACGAATAACAAGAAAACAGGGCTGTAATACAGACACGCAGCTCAGTCTGGGATAGCCAAAGCAGAAGAAACGTGCCAGGAGCGACCGACACCCCGGTAGCTGCGGGAGTGTGTCGAAAGCAACATTACCAATCCTCCGCAAGTGCTGCCTATCACATGATATGAGCTAAGCTTCCGTTGGAGTCGCACCCAGCGCGGATGAAGCTGGGGTGGTTGGGGCATGGGTCCGCCACGAGGAGGGAGTCAGGAGCTCCAGGGGGACGACATCCTCCCCCAATCAGTGTTGGCCACACCAAACTTTCGGGCCATTGACTCCCGTATGCACCAGTGCTCGCCGTACCACACTTTTCGGTGTTGAATGATCCCACCCAATCAGTGTTCGCCACACCAGACTTTCGGTTCAATTGCTTCGCCAATCGGTGTTCGCCACACCGTACTCCCCGGTTGTATTTTCTTCGGCCATTTTTCTCAGCAAGGCAAGAAACAGAAAAATGTACGTAACTTGGTATACCTATGCATACGGAGAACGGAGTAGCGAAGCAGGATGCGACAGCCCACAGTAACAAGAACCTATTTCATACGAAGTACAAGAGATCTAACGACGATATCTCCTTCGACGCCAAATCAGGAATTGAGCATTGGCCCGATTCGACGTTCTTCTCAACGGGGGGGGACGTTCTGAAACAACATGAATAGTAGCGGCTAATCGTCGGAGATACTCTGTGAAAGCATACAAGCAAAAAAAACTTGCTTGCAGGTGCATATTTATTGGTCTGGTTTATGCATTGAAGACAAAGAAAGCCGTGACGCTCGCCGGAACAACATCGCCTACAACAGCAGTGGAAGCAATTTCATTGAACTAACTCCCACCGGCTAAGCATAGATACTTGTAGGGCACATGCCCTGAGGGGGGGGGGCTCTCTTACACTGTTGCTGTAGGTGTGTGCAAGGAAACTTCTTGTTTTTTTTCTGTGGCACAGCAGGAACACGTCGCCGACTCTATTTTTGACATCTTGATGGGCAGTAAAATTGCCGTTGGCGGGATGGAAGGTGGCGACCAACCCGTGGTTGTCCGCCCACGTTGGCGACGACTAGTGTGTCAAATGCAAAGAGAATATGGCGAACGTATAAAGTAGTCTACCCAAGCGCGGACGGAGTGCTGGATGGACGCTGTAAACTCGTTGTGGCTGAACTTTCCTAGTGGGGGGGGGGGTTTCCCCGCACCGCCCCTACGTACCACGTCATCCCCGCTCGGTGATTTGCCGCTAACAGTAGTAGTCGACAGACGACTGGTCAGAACAAGAACATGCGTTTTGTCGCACGCGATTAGAGCAACCCCGTTCGGTTGTTGCCAACCATCGAGAAGCAGCCGCACATGCAGCAGCGGTTAAATTGCTGGTATTTGCACTGGTGTAAGTGGGTGCGGGGAGACATGTGTCTGAAGACATGGGCAAGTTCCCTGCGTGATCGGCCAAGTGCTACTTCGTCTCCGTCTCTCAAGAGGAGACTAGGCCAGCACCGGCAGTGGTGGTCGCAGCTGACGAGAGAACACGTAGAGGAGAGAGCGCCCCGGGTGTATAGGTTGGTTCTTGAAGTGCACAAAGGTTGACGACATAACTGCTCTATTCCAGCAGTTACTCCCTCCTGTAACCTACGAAGACAGAGAGGGCCAAACCAAGGAACAGCATCAACAAGACAACCGCCACACCAGGGTCAACAACAACAGCAGCTGCAGCAGTATGGCCTACCGCCGCGCTTCGAAGAGAACACAGGTCTTGCCTAGCACAGGTTATGTGAAGCTACGGCCAGCTCACCTTCAAGTTGGCGCGTTTTTTGCCCCGGGGCGCAGGTCTTTGAATGCTTCAAAAAGCAGGTTCGGCAAGGCAAGGTTCGGAGCCGGCAGATTTCAATAGCCACAGTATTCAACTAATAGGGGATCGGGGATGATTACTCCCTATCCCCTCCCCCCAAAAAATATCGTTGTGAATTCTAGGTTGTGAAAAAAAAAAGTTTTATGAAGCGAGAGAGCGGGGGACAGAGACAGAGAGAGGGGGACGCGACCATCAGAGACCCACGGCACAGGCAGCACCAAGCAGCACACGGGGCGGCAGATCAGCAAGGGAGAGCGTGCACGCCACCGACTTCCCAAGGAAAGGCATCATTGATAGAGATCCTCTCGTTAACTCGGGCAGGACCAACGGAGGCCAGGATTGGGGGTGAGAGAGAAAACTGATTCGCGTGAACTTGTCGGTCTGCCTTTTAGCCTCGCGCCCAGAGCAGCAGCAGCAGCAGCAGCAGCAACAGCAGCAGCAAGCAAAGCACAACGGGCAGCCACGCAGCAATGCCGTCCGAGTGCACGCGAGGAGCCGCCGCCTGATTCATTTGTGTCTTTGGTTTGTCGCTCTCTGGGTTCATGTGCGATCTGCTGTGTGGTGTGTGTCTCCGCGTGTCTGTCGGTGCTTGCCTCGTTTTTTTAGGGAGGGGGCACCAGACACCCCGGTGTTGTTTTGTGCGCAATGTGCGCGCGCGTGCTGCCTCGCAGGAGAGCTTGCGAGCCAAGCCCTCAGTAGCAGCGGTGTCCTGGATCTATCGTGTGTCTGGAAGGCTAGAGCAAGCTCTTGAGCGTGTGCTACTGCTCTTTCCCCTCCTGCTTCACATCTCGTAGCTGCTGCTGCTGCTGCTGCTGCTGCTGCTGCTGCTGCTGCTGCTGTGGTGTGTGGGGAGCCGGGCGCGGCGGGAAAAAAAACGTTTTTTTGAAGTAGATTATTGACACAAACGCTTGCAGCAGACGCGGCAGGGCAGAGCAACTCACCCCCGCAATGATTGACCACGCTGGTGTGCAAGCGGAGGTCCTTTCCACAGTCCAGGAGGGGAGCTGTTGACCACCGGTACCAAAGTGTGCGTCGTTGAATCCGCAGTATCCGACCCTCTCTCCCTCTCTATCTGTACCTCATTTTTGTGTGCGGGCAATTTGGCACCGCATGCGCCCCCAGTCGCCTCTTTTCACCGAGAGCAACCACCGCCAGTAAGACATGATGATGTGCAGGCTCACTTTTTATCGCGGCAGACTGACTGTGTACCTCTCACTTTGGGCAAGCCCAGGGCCTGTTGGAAAAGATCACTCGGCTCTGTGAAGGCGGCGCTGCTCGTACTCTGCCCCCCTCTCCAATCAAGCTTCTAAGTACGAGTGTAGCGTACTCTCTGGAGACAAGTCGGACCGCCGGAGTGTGTTCTGCTTTCTCTCCCCCCATCCCTCCCTCGTTGCCTCGCTGTGTGCCGCGCGCACGCTTTTTTGCAGCTCATGCCGCCAGTGATGACGCTCCCGATGCTCGTACCAACGCACATTGTCAACCATGAACGGCTATGCACGTGTGCTCGGTGTCTGCACTCCCACCGCTGCTGTGGTGCATGCAATGACGACCATGTTCGCGTAATTTTAACGCCACCGGCAGCTGTTGGCCAGCTCCTCTCTGCTGCTGTGGTTGTTTCACGACAAACCCATACTACACATAACAGAATGGTTGTTTCGAACCATGAGCAGCAGAGTTGCCCCGCCTTCGTGTCACTAAAGGTGTTACGCACTGGCCGTCTTTTTGTCCTGAGGGCGCTGTCCTCATGTGATAGAGGAGTGTGGCCTCTCCTTGCGCCGGGGGCAACGGCATCCGGTGCACTTCCAGAGATATGTAGACACAGACTTAGGCGCGCGAAGGCAACTAATAATGCCCCGCTGCACACCAGTTACACGCATCAGGGTGTACGCATAAGTCGCGCGCATGCATATATACGTCCGTTGTAGTAGAAAGAGCAATAAGGCCGCGGTTGACGCGGTCTGTCCCTCTGGGTCCTCTTGAAGAGCAAAAGATAACCACCGTTCTTATGTCGGTGATGACACAAGATACCGCGCACCCTGGACTGATGTTCAACATAGGCGGTGAAAAGGGCGGCGTTGGAACGGTCTCGTCGAGAGACCTTCCGAATGTTCCGAACGTTTTGTGCATGCAAGCTCTCTCGTCGTGGAGTATTGTTATCGAGCTGTGAAAATCGATCCGGGGGGGTGTGGTATCTTCCGCATGTCTCCTACGCCATATGGAGAAATAATGTAGATCAACCATCAGACGAGAGGCCTTCCCCCCTTGAATTGGCTGCCTGTCGCGGAATGCTGTTCGGCCAAGGCCACCAAAGTCTCCAAATCTGGTTTCTAGATTACAGCAGTTGCAGCCCGTGAATACAAGAAACGGCAACTTGGGGTCGAGGCTCAATTATTTCTTAGATTTCGTCACCGTCGTCGAGGATAGGTGATCATGTGATTATATAGAGTTTAGTGTACAATCCATGGCTCAGGTGTGTGTTCTGCGTCGATTTTCCTTATTTTTCGCGAAAGGCCCTGCCAGCCCTATTTTCATATTTTTACGTTTTTCTCATCTACTTATCTACTTGCAGGCCGCAACGGCTGCATGCATCAATTGGTACGCACAAAGCATTGCACGGATTTTGCCCGTACACCGTCGAGGGTCATTCTTCATTCGTTCGTTCGACCTGGTGTGGTCGCAGACCTCCTCTGGGAGTCGAGGGAAAATGGCGTGATTTTTTGGGTTGACAACGCGCGGTCGGCTACACGACGGCGCGACGTCGCCAGCGCGAGAAGACAGAAGTTCGGCCGCGCAGCGAGTATCTCTTGATGCCCACAACGTTGGTTCCAGGATCGCTTTGAGGGCGAAATGGAACGTCAAAAAAGCTAACAACAGCGAACGAGAGTTTTTTCAATTCTAGATAGTCTTGCGCCTAGGTAGTAGGCGATTGGTGACATACTGTGAGCAAGTTGGTTTTAGATTTGCCATCAATTAACACGAGAAGAAGATCGAGTCGCCGAAATCAGTCGCCTACAATGTGCCTAGTTTGGGAGGCGCTCGGCGTAGTCTACCAATTTCGCCATTGGACCGATCGCAAGGGGTCGCTTTGATACACAAGGCAATGCAACAGGGGTCCCTGTTGTTAATTTTTGTACATGTGCATACAGCAGTAGTTGCTTTTATGGCAGCGCTACATTTGTTTCGGCCATACTTTTTCGAAATACACCTGTATGTAGGGTAAGCACCGCAGGGGGAAAAGTGGGGCAATAAAAAAATGTATAATACAATGAGAAAAGCTCCTGTGTGGCGGTCCTCTTGTGTGACCCAGGCTAAAACGTCAGGTACAGTCGAACCTCGGTTAAGGACACACGTGGTTTTTTCTTAGAAAAAAGTATCCTTAAGCCGGGGAAGTGTCCTTACGGTTGATACCCTTCCTTATGTGTTTTGTGTTTGCCTTTTTTGATCCGTCTGCTGTGTCGTCCCTTCTTTCTCCACTCCTGTTCCTGTTCCTGCGCAGATCGAACGGGAGAACGGGACTCAGTCCCCCCAGGAGGAGCTAGGATGCGGGAGCTACGTGTAGAGGATGCTCTCCTATATCTCGACCAGGTATTGTTTACAGCAGTATGTCGGTGCTGCAATGTGTTATGTTGTGTTGTGTTGTGTTGTGTTCCCGCACGCGTGTCACACTCTTGACTTTAAACAATAAGGAGCTTTCGAACATCTCATTGGTCTCTTCATTTCCATATATGGTGGTAGTGTCGTCCGCAAAAAGCCGAAGAAGAAAAGGTACTCAGGTGCAAAATTTGTCCCCCCTTCAGCACTATTTTTCACTTGCTATAGCATGCCATGTATTTTCTTTTTGCGTCCCCTCTATTCTGGGCGACGGTCGACGCATTTTGGCAAATCTTTGAGACGTCGAGGCGGGGGCGTCACGCAGCAAAAAAAGTCTTACTTGCTGTTGTTGTCTTCTGTTCTGCTGTGCTTGCCTCAACCTTTGTTGTCGAGAGCAGGATTCAGCCGTCCCTCGTGATTCTATTGTCTTGTGCTGTCTACGTCTCCGCTTTGTTTTTGATTGGCCCGTACCCTCACGAAAACCATTATTCTTGGTCTTCTAAGGTCACCAGAGCAAGATTTTCTCGCTGGAGTTGAATGTTTTCTATGAGAGTCAAGTGCCAATAATAGCAACGTAGCACCGACTATTTTGTGTAGGCGCGGTGGGGATCTCTTTTCGACAAGAAGACGTGTGTTGCTGGTTGCGAATCCCTCGCTGTAGTAGCAGTTCGAGAGAGGTGCTGGACGGGTACGTTCGCAGACTTGTCGTCAGAATGGACGCTGACGATGGCGGCGCATGTCTTGCCTTGTCAACCCTAGCACGTCACCGGGTTTCTTGCCGCTTTGCTTCGCCCTACTGGTAAACGTCAGTCGATAGTTTGTTTGCGAAATGCCCCCGCGAAACATCGGTGCACGCGAGTGGTAATGATCGTATTTTGATAGAACCGCGCCGCCACTTTTGGAGAAACTCTCATCGCGCGCAGCACTCGCCCCTGAGTTGATCAAACGGGAAAAACAACATGGCGTATTTAGGTTTTTTACGTGCACGAAGAGGTATCTAGGTCTTGCTTTGGGAACGGGCTATCTAGGTGTTAGTGCGGGAAGGGCTCCGGGTTATTGGTGTTTCGTGATGTTGGCACCCTGAATAATCTGAACATCCGATTTCCTCCAAAGTGGCCGCGTTCCTTTGGAGTTTAAGTCGTGCTTCCTCCTTCCTTGCACCCCCCCGCCTTGCCGACCCGGCTTTTCAGGTCAAGATCGAGTTCGGAGACAAGCCGGAGATCTACAATGAATTCCTCGACATCATGAAGAACTTCAAGGTATGCTGCTGCTGCTGCTGCTGCTACTACTGTGAATGATACCACGTTTTGCTCCTTTTGTGTTTTTCTGCCCATGGACAAGAAGCTGAAATATATACCTAGCTGCTTGGTGCACCGTCAAAGATGACTGTCTCTCGTCTCGTCGGTTATGCAGCCAGCGCGAAAAAGACACATACGGTAAATTTTTGGGTAGGATGAAGTCGGGACGGTTGTCGGTAGACCGCAACATGGTCTTGTACGCAAGCACACCTGGCCCTTTCTCGGCAAACATATCGGACCTGAGGCTCGGCCTGACTCACTACCAATGGTTTTGACTCAACACTGATGGGCAACTCGGCTAGAGCAAGTATTAGCAGATGAGATGAAATTGCTCGCCATACGAAACGACAAAAACGTGTGCGGGAGATGTAGGCAGCAGCAGCAGCTGCTGCTGCTGCTGCTGCTGCTGGTGGTGAATCAAACAGGTGGTGGGAAAATGGGAAACACAAGGTGCTCTTCTCCGCGGCGCAATGGTTTCCCGTGTTCTTTGTTTGTAGAGCGGTCTTTTCGTGCTGGGATGTCGAAAGTTTTCGTCATGATGGCGCTCCTTCTTCTCCCTCACCCTTTTCCTTCCCCGCCCTCATGTACACACACGCACGAATGGGACTGTCGTCTTTCCGTGGTCAGCCGGTAAGCGCGGTCGATCGACGCTGTTAGCAAAAAGAAATCAGTATTCACTCACACTTCGCGCTACCGCCCGACCCACGTAATGTCGATACCGCTACGTACCGTACCGCAGGCCATGGCCATCGACACCCCCGGGGTGATTCGACGGGTTTCCAGCCTGTTCCGCGGTTACAACAAACTCATTCTCGGGTTCAACACCTTCCTGCCCGACGGTTACAAGATCGAGCTTTCGGACATTGAGGTGAACCCGAGGGAGCAGCAAAATATTTGTTTTGCGCTTAGAAACGAAGCCCGTGATTTTTTTTTTTTTCCTGGAAGGGTGAAGATTGCTCTCGGATATTGAGGTGAACAGCGGGAGCAGAATCTGATTTATTTATTTTTTGGCACAAGCAAGACGTTGTTTTTCCTTGTCTTGGAAGCTTGAGGCTGCGGTCCGACATTGAGGTGAACCGAGGGAGAAAGCTTGTTAATTGTTTTGCGCTTAGGAACCACATCCGTTATCTATTTTTTTATCCTGGAAGAGTAAGATTGCTCTCCGACATAGAGGTGCACCTCGGGAGCAGAAAGTTGTGAGTTTTTTATCGCACATAGAAAAATACCATCAAGGAGCTTTTTTTGTTTATCTTGCAAGGATAAGATTGATATCATAGATTGCTCTCCGGTATTGAGGTGAACCGCGGACGCGGAATCGGACCTTTTTTTTTTTTGGCGCATACAGGATTCGCGAACATGTTTCTTTTTTGTCTTGGAGGGTTGAGATTTTCGGGGCGAGGGATGGGGCGGTTACACGGCTAAAACGAGGTGCTGGTGTTGAGTCGGTCGAGAGAGTACGCGCCCCAGATACTTTGCGATATTTCTTGGGGGGCTTCTTAGTGTGGGCCTACTAAGGGGTAGAAGTGTTGCAAGATTGAATTGCATCCCGCCTGACACCGGCTTGCAGCTGTGCTGCGGGCAGCAGCTGCAACGCAAGCGGAAAGGCTCGGTCTCTCTTTTCTCTCTCTTTTCTCTCTCTTTTCTCTCTCTCTCTCTCTCTCTCTCTCTGTGTGTGTCAAATGAACGAACTAGATACATTCAATGTTTTTCAAGCTTTCCACCGGAGGGTGAACCGTCGGGGTGGTTGTTATTGAACAGTGCTTATTAAGATTTAAAGAGTCGCGCGCTAGGCGGAATCAATCCGTTTTCTCACACCCCTATCCCCGCCCTTGGTTGCCGCGCCGTGTTCTTCGCCACGCGGCGCCACAGGAAATGAACCGCGAGCACGAGCGGCAGCTGGCCATCAGCCGCGGCGAGATCGCGCCGGACTCCGTGGACAACAACGGCGGCGGCGGCGGTGGCGGCGGTGGCGGCGGCGGAACCAACGCTTCCGGCGGAGGTGGCGGAAGCGGAGGCGGTGCCTTCTCCTCCTCTTCTTCCGGGGGAAACAACAATAACAACAACAACAGCGGCAGCAGCAACAGCAAGGAGAGCGGCGGCGGTGGAGCTTCCGGTCCGGGAGGAGGCGTCGGTGGCGCTGCCGCCTCCAACCCCGCCCGCGT